GATTTCTTTCAAAACAATCACCAAATCTTTGTTAAATAATAATAATAATAAATAAATAAATAAAAACAACAAGACATTATAACTGTTAGTCATCTTAATAATTTCCTACAAATCATAACCAATTTTTCAATATTTAATTAAAATATGAAATTTATATAAAAAGTTAGATGTTTTAAGTTAAAATTATAATTAGAATAAGTCTGTATTCTGTGCATAATTCTAAAAGCCTATATTCTTAGAAAGTTGATTAAAAAATCTACGTGAGTTTAAAGGCATATTTATAAATTAAAAATATATGAATAGTATCATTACTTAATAGGTGAGTATATCCATGTATTTTTAAATATATTTTAAAAATACATGGCACCAAATAGAATTATAAAGTACATTTTTTATTTATAATTTAAATTTGGATTTTTTAAAGTTCACATTTAGCATTTTATTACAAAAATTGGTGATTAGTGTTACTTTAAATAAATTTCTAATTATGTTTTTTTGTATTACTAATAATTGTCAAAATTATATGGAAATTGCAAATATCAGTCTTTAAAATCAAAACAGACCAAGATATACCTTGTAGTTTAAAAAATGAAGATCTTATTCAAAAGGTAAGACACATTAAAATTTATTATTTTGTATCAGTAAAAGCTCTAACTTGACCTTGGATTGAAAATAGTCGTTAAATTTATATTACATAAATTATAATATCAAAATTATGTTTTTTAACTATTATTTTAATTATGCAACTTCTTTGAAATAAAAAAATTGAATTATAATGCTCTTGCAATAGAACACTTCATGCTTGGGCTCATCCATCTCTCTCAAATGAGAGATCCAAAATTTATTTATGCGGCACAAACATCACTTGCTTTCAATCTTTTTCAAAAATGCAACCAAGGACCCTCTCTCTCTATCTATCTATATATCTCTTGCTCCTATTAAAATACCAACAATGATAAATGGGCATATGCTGAAATGTCAAACTTTTGGAGTCGATGAGACAAAAAATTGTCTAACATGCTCCATTTTAGATCACCATCATCATCATCATCATAGCCTTTTCCCAAATTAATTGGAGTCGGCTATAGGAATCCTGGTCGCCATTTGTTCTATTAAAGGTCATACCCTCAGTGAGGCCATAAGTCCTCATATCTTTCCGAACTACTTCCAACCACGTCCTTTTGGGCCTACCCCTTGCCCTTGTAAGTTCTTCCACATGAACTAATTCACACCTCCTAACAAGTGTTGTATTTGGTCGGTGCCACACATGGCCAGCCCACTTAAGTCTACTCTCCTTCATCTTATCTCCTATTGGTGCTACACCTAAATTCTCCCGAATGGATTCATTTTGAATTCTATCCGTTCTTGTCTTGTCACTCATCCATTTCAACATCATTATCTCTGCTACACTCATTTTATGGGTATATTGTTTTTTGTCCACCCAACATTCAGTCCTATAGAGTAAAGCTAGTCTCACAACTGTCTTATAGAACTTGCCCTTCAGCTTCATTGGTATGTGGCAATCACATAAAACTTTAGTTACACATCTCCACTTTGCCCACCCAGCTCTAATTCTGGGTGCGATATCTTCCTCAATCTCTCCATTTTCCTAGATTATCAATGCAAAATATCAAAAGTGCGGTCTCTTTTGTACTTTCTGGCCGTTAATCTTAACTATTTCCTCATCTACTCCTATTATTACTAAACTTGCATTCCATACTCTATCTTAGTCCAGCTAATTTTAAAACCTTTGGATTCTAGAGCATCCCTCCAAAGTTCTAACTTTGTGTTGACGCCGTTTCGGATCTCATTGATCAAAACTATATCATATGCGAACAACTTTGTGTTAACTAGCATGCTCCATTTTAGATCATGTTGTATAATTGTTCCAAAAAAGACTTAAGAGGTATTTCATATAGATCTATACTCACTATACATCTGTATATGAGTATATTTTCCTCCCCTATTTCAAAGCAGTGTTATGAGGAAGGGGATTTGATGGATTTCTTCATTCCATAGAAATGAAGATATTATTTTTCTTCTAAGCTACACAAACCAAAAAAAAAAAATAGTACAGCCAATTTTATCACGCAGCACTCATCTAAATCAAACAATGTGCAAGGCAAGTCCACGTCAGGTTCACTTCAATTTTTCATATTACTTTGTTATGATTTTCCTCTTTCTTCGTGCTTTCATTTGTAAAAAGATTTTTGGGCAGTTGCCAAGTCCAAGTCCTAGACGCATTTGGTCACAGCAGTTCCAAATCAAAAGATTTTTCACCAAAACAGACCCTAACAAGGCAGAATTACTAATAGACTTTCATGTTCATGCTTTATTCCCACCTTGCCATGCTTATCTTCTTGAAAGTCATAGAACCCCTCAGGCCTTTATTCTATCATGTAGCTCAGTATCATCCATTGCCTCCTAACCAAAACCCACATTTACAGAAATTCACCCACTCCCCCCACCCAACCACCAGTCCATGCCCCCACCAAAAGATTCAAAACCAATTCTACATTTCTTTTTCGTTTTTTTTTTGGGGGGAAAACTTTGCATTGGCATATGAGAGTTTATTGGTTATGTATTTGGGAAGCAATGCCGAGGATAGGATTTGCATGTCATTTGAAAGGCTATCTATTATGACAATATCTATGAGAAGTACAATTATACGTTGTTAAATTGCGAGCCTTCAAACAGTTATGCCCATGGAATTCTAGAGACCATTGTTCCAGAAATTATTGACCTTGACTCTAGCTTTGATGTTACAGAAACAGCTCAAATTTATGGTGATTCCTCATCAGTTAGGAAGAAATTCCTGTAACCAGACAGGCTCTGAACCCCTAGTACTCCACTGGAACACCCATAGGCCTACCAATCCAACACCTTTTTTAAAAGAAATCTCCCACTTTCCAACTCCATCTGTCAGCTCCAAACATCATAGGCTCAACCACCTCAAGATCCACACAATGCATCCTATTCACCTAAGGTGCAAGTTCAACATCCACCCTCTAGCTTTTTGATTCATAATTCCCGGGCAGAATTCCTCCATAAACATATGAAACCTAACACTCAACATTCACAAACTCCAATCAAGAAAGAATGGTGAAACCAAATTTTCTATAACATATTCTTGTCTACCCATGAAAGTTCAAAAAAGGATTTATTTATTTCTCCAAGAGAGCACAGTTGTGGTTATTGCAATTCATGGAACTGAAACCACATGTTGTTATATCAGGCTTGACAAAGAAGAGTTTCTCCACCATCACACTGCAAAATCCTTAACCCTAACTACTAACATCCATTTGCTCAGGCTTGACAAAGAAGAGTTTCTCCGCCATCACATTGCAAACTCCTTAACTCTAACTACTAATACCCATTTGTCATCTTTCAAGCTGCCAAACATCAGATGAAATGTCTTCCTCTCCATGTTCTCCAACACTAAGTTTGCAATTCCTCAGCACGGGTAACTGTTGGATATGGTGATATCCAAAATCACCCACATAAGGAAATCCCATAGTATGTGGGATTGAGATTGATATTGGTAAGTTTCCTAAAGGTTATCTCTTGATTCTTGAGATATATGTAACATCAATAGGAAGTTTCCTATTTCATGTGTATTCCCAACTTTATATATATGGGATGAAAGTGTAGAGAAGTGGTGTGCCCTATTTGGGTCACCATATGGGAAAGGTGGTTTCCTTTACAGAGAGAGGCACGGGCCACCTGTGCATGAGAGGCAAGGCTTCCCCTTAAAGAGAAGAGAGCCTCCTACAGAGAGAAATGCCCTGATGTGCTTCCTGTGATTGAGAGGCTGGTTTCTTGTAGCGAAGCGATTCCCATGAAGATTTTAGGTGGTTTCCTTTTTAGATAGAGAAAGTCTCGGTTGCGCTCAAGGTTCTACTCCTAGACAGTAGTTTAGCTGTGGAATGGAGAGTTCTCTTCCTGGACAGTGGTTTAGTTGTGGAATAGAGATAAGAGATCGGCAAGTCGTCCCGATCAGGAAAGCAGATCTAAAAGGACTGGGTTTTATCGAGGATTAGTGAGGTAACTCTCTGTCTCAAAATCTGTGATGTAACTTTCATTGTTATAGTGGATTTCAGTTTGTCATGCCCATGAAAATAACCCTCTTGGGGTGAACCACGTAAATCTTTGTGTTCTTGTTGTGTGTCTGTTTCATGCTTTATTTCTCGTATATGGCTCGTGCTCTCTCCTATTTTGTTTCTAGCCGGACAAGTACACGATCTTGGTGGGATCCAACTTTTGGGGTTCCTGGTTCCGCATCTAAGATGGTTCTTAAATCTTAACAGTAACGTCCTTGAACCAAATGGCAAGCACTTAATCAGGGGTCAAGTTTGCCACTTCCACTGGGAAAGCTTCCTTATTGACCTAGTGACCTCTAATAGTGAATCTCATACTTAACAGCCAGGACTCTCAAAGACTCCACCTTTGCCAGAATTTTGACATGGGATGACCGTCACTGGTCATGGTCAATTCTCAAATTAAAAATAATTAGCTCAAGGAATGTGAAAATTATTACTTTCAGAGCTATTCATTGAACATGTGCACATAATGCTATTCACATATTCAATGGGCGCTTCTTCTTATCAGACTTGGATAGTACTTCTAAATGGGAAAGACCTCAAAAGGCCCTTATGTTAAAAAGATTAGACATGTTCTTCAGGATGGTCTTCATACTAACAGAAATTTTTCATGCTCCAAGAAAAAGTTAATGGGATTGCAGCAAGCTTCATACCACTGTTGGGGATTTCAAGCTGTAACATTAGGATTTTTAATGGCTTTCTTCTTGCTTTAAGAAGATCCTATTCAATTTATACAATATCAAAAGATTGTATTTAAGACAAGAAGCAAAAGAACATAGCTTGAAGCAACAGCTGAATGCAGGATAGAGTACAACACATTCGTTCGAACACAAACTATAGCAAGCGCCTACCATTGATGTGTGCTTGTATATTATTTTTCAGACAGAAGTGGAATTTCACCTTCAATTCTGCAATTTCCTGCTCTCGCTTTGCAAACGTTACAATAAATGCAGCTTCTTTTTTCCTTGCCTTTTCCAGCTGACAAAAATTAATCATATGAACCCACATGTTCAATATTATATGTTCATTAGGAATGACAAAACCAGGAACATACCAACCTGTTCCTTCAACGTCTCCTCAGAAGATCTCAGGTTTTGCAAATAGTTTACTACAAGAGCAGGTTCTAAAAAAATATAATAACAAATAAGTAAATATTAGCAGAACATGTAATACAAGATACAAAGCAATAAAAGGGTGAACAACAGATTTCGGCATGCATGGAAAATCATCAAAGCAATAACTACAAAACTAAAAAAGAAATTAAAGGGGTTGACAGCCATTACAATAAACTGCTTGCCTGGATGAGTTATAGTTGGCTCATTTTGAAAGGCAGAATGCCACTTCTGAATCTCTGACTTTGCTGCTTCAAGCTCTGCCTGCCACACGCAAAAGACTATCAAATTTCAAGTAGTTTCCACCAAAAACTGAAAATGGCGATAGCAATTAATCAGAAGAAGTGAAGCAACTCTTTGAAGTTTTTTAAAGAGGCTAAACTAGAATGTTATCTAATATGTATCTATTATTATCCATTAAGAGAGAAGGAGACCTCCTTTATTCTTTCGACAAGTGTCCCTTAAAATGCCAACTTTCTCCTTGCAGTTTTTAAGCAATATCATTTTAGTCCTTTTTGTCTACTTATTTATATTTATTTTCAATTTACTTATATATACATTTACCTTTAATGTTTAACAAGATACTCTCCGAACTTACTATTTCCATGTCCAACTATCAAACAATTTATCTCTCCTCCTAAAACATCACTTTCTCCCTAATAGATAATGCTTTCCAACCTTCAACATTGTGGTCCTCTCCCTCTCTTTCCCTAATAGATAATGATAGAGCCAAAAATCTCTCTAAGCTATGTCAAGCATAAATTGCTATTTCTATATATTCAATCTAACATGATAGGTATGTCTCTCTCTCTCCTTCCATGTGATACAAAGATGTCTAGACCCTATGTGCTTAATTCCATCAAATTGGAAAACAAGCATCGGGATATTGTTTATTCATAAATAATGTATATTTTGTTATAAGTATATTTTGTTATAATTAAATCAATGTAATTATCAAATACCTAAAAAATTTAGAAATATTTGTAATATAATTATACTGCATCTACTAATTGAAATTAGCTACTAATTACAATCAGTATAATAAATACATATTATTGATATAATATAACCATACAATTTTAATTATGTAATTACATACCAATAATTAAAATAATGGCTATTTCAATCATAGTTATAACATTACTTAGTATAATAAATACATATTATTAATTTCAATTAGTACTAAATGAAATTAACTACTATTATAATTACAATAAGTATAATTAACTACTATTATAACTACAAGAAGTACAATAAATACATATTATTGATAGGACGCAGCTAGCATGAGGCCAATCCCACATGTGTACAAATGTGGGCTTGCAATAAATATTTTTTAGTATAATTTGATGAAAATATCTCCTTATCCCCTATTTTTAACTTTCACATCTCATGATACCCAGAAAATATTATTTGTAAGCAAAAGGTCTCTATCTTTTCTATCTTACAACCCCCTGAACCCCTTTGACCATAAAGTTTTTACCCAAACAAACACTAAAATGACACCCTATTCAAACTCCATTTCTCTCTCCCTCTCTCTTCGCTTCTCGGTGAGTTTACCCGCCAAGAGGTTTAGCTTGAGCTCGAACACGAGCACACCTTCTTATATGTGAGAGAGAGATGGAGTTTGGGTTTTAGTAGAGAGATGGAGTTGGGTTTTAGTAGAGAGATGAATTTTAGTAGAGAGAGAGAGATGGAGTTTGAGTTTTAGGAAGAGAGATGAAGTTTTGAGAGAGAGAGAGACGATGATGTGAGAGAGAGATGGAGTTTGGGTTTCAGAGAGATATGGAGTTTTGAGAGAGAGAGAGACGATGATGTGAGAGAGAGATGGAGTTTTAAAGAGAGAGATAGAGTCATTTCATAAGTTGTTGAGGTCAATAATACATGGTCAAAAAGGTTTAGGGGGTTGGAAGACAGAAAAGATGGAGTCCTTTTGCTTACAAGTAATATTTTCAATTCTTGGGTCTGATGAGATATAGAAGTTAAAAATGGGGGATAATAGGACATTTTCCCCAATTTGATCCTAATTTTTAAAGAATATATAATCGTTAACATGGAGATCATGAATATGAAAAAATAAATAAATTTTGAAAACTAGTAATAATAATTATATTAAGAAAACATCTGGACAGTTAGTTACAATTGTTTTTAGATGGACCACCTATTTGCATCCATCTTTAAGATGGATGCTATATACTTCTGGACCGCATATTGTATTTGTACAAATGCGGTCCTGCCCGCATGAAACAATTGTTCTTATTGATATAATATAACCACACAATTGTAATTATGTATTTACATACTAATAATTAAAATAATGGCTATTTCAATCATAGTTATAATATTACTTACTATAATAAATACATATTATTGATATAATATAACCATACATATTTAATTACTTACTAATAATTAAAATAATGGTCTAAGAAGGGTGATGACCTTAAACTTTCCCTTAACCCATCCCATGCCTGGGTAAAAGGGCATGGTTGTGTTAGGTAGGCAGCCAACGTAAAATTTTGCCAAAACTCATCATCATCAATCACAGTTATAATATTACTTATAACAGTAAATTCATAGCAGCTAACTTTAAATACAATAATAATAACTTTATTTTTAATAGAATTACATAGTTATAATTAAATGAATTTCATATATTACTAAGGAAAACTCTTCCCAACGCCTATAGGTGAAAATGAACAGTAATTTTGTCTACCCTCATCACCATCCAAATTTCATCGCACGGTCACAGTTGTCTGGTAGTGCTTCATTTTTCATTTTTTTTTCTACAAATCCAAATGACTTGAAATTAGAACGTGTGTACATCTTAGTGAGGCGCACCTAATAAAAATATGAAAAAATAATTCACAAAATATAAATTGATCAAAATACCCCCTAATATTTACTGGGGTATTTTGGTTAATTTATATTTTGCGAATTATTTTTTTCATATTTTATTAGGTGCGCCTCACTAGGATGTACACACGCTCCAAATTTCAGATCATTCCGATGAGTAAAAACAAAATTAAAATTGAAACACTACAGGACAACTGTGACTGTGCGATGAAGTTTGGATGGTGATGAGGGTAGGCGAAATCACTGTTCATTTTCGCCTATAGGCGTTTTGTAGAATCTTCTATTACTAATATTACTTAGTAGTCCATCATATTTGTAGTTATTTTAAACTTTTACAAGATTTTAATTATATTGTTGTATCATAAATATTGTTGTTATTATTGTTATTGCTATTGCTATTTCTATTGCTATCGCTATCGCTATCACTATTGCTATTGCTATTGTTGTTATTATTATTATTGGCATCATTGTTGTTATTTTCATATGAGTAAAATATTGACTCACTTCACGCAGAAAAGGTCGAATATTTAGAAACAGCATAAAGATAAACAGTCATACTTCCTCTCATCTAGTGTGTTATTTCTCAGATATTTTTATCAATGTCACATTTATGTATATAACTCTTTAATAAGACCTACGAAGGAGGCACATCTTACTAGTTCATTTTAATCAGATACTTGCAATGGCTATCACAGCATATGTGCAAGGTCCAGACTCTTTACTGATTTTTCCAATGTTCCCACACATGTGTACAAAAATTCACTCCCATGACATGAGCAAGGGACATTACATTAGTCTTGAAAAAAGAATGAAAGTATACATTCAATAGGTTAACTCTGATGCGAATAAAATAAGTACCATCAACGTACAGGAAGATGCATCTATGTGGCATAGCCTTCAGAAGCTTAAGTTCGGCAGAAAAACTTGAACGTATTCACCATATTTAACTCCATCATATGCAATAACTTGAGATGAGAAAAGTGGGGGAGAAAAAGATAAGAAAAGGGAATTTTTTCAGCAGAAAACTTTTTAAGACTTGTAGGTGATCTATAGATTTGATAAGAGCTTTGTCACAATGCAAAATACCTTGTGGTATCATACAGCTCTTGAGGAGCATCACATAACTTTTGGGGAATTGATGACAAATATACACATTGAAGGACTTCTATACATTGCTTCATAACTAATGACAATATCATCAGAGCCTAATGAATCTCTAACTCCTGGACCTCAGACACACCAAATGCACCAAAGGCTTCCATAAGCAGGACACCATTGCGATTGTAGCCCCCTAATGAAAAACTCATCCAATGGGAATTCTTCCTCCCATAAAGGGAGTAGTTAGTAAAACAAAATTCAAACTCATCTGATCTTATTGAATATCAGTATTTAATACCGATATCAGTATTAAACCCCACAAACTTATAGATTTCTCATTTTCTAATAGTCTTCTTTAAGAGTGATTTGCAACAAAAAGTTACTGACATCATAAAAGGAGAATATCAGACAGCAATGAATATCAGATTCAATACCTGGGAATGTTGTAGTACTATGAGAATTATTTTTTTCTCAAAAAAGGGCTTTCATGTTAACAATTCTAGGACTATGAAGAGACAAACTACATCCTTTCATAAGGATGCCCATCACAGCTACACGTAAACCTTCTTTTTCTATCTCCTATAACCCCACTAGCAAAGAAATTGCTCAAGAACATCCACCTGGGTAACAGGTTTCTAGACTTTGTCATCACCTACCACCCCATCTAACTATAATGAAGTTTACATATTTACTATGGTTGTCAATAACATCTGGCCATAACTACAGGGCATTGTCCTAAATCCTAACAGCTGAAGTTTGCAAATCACATAAAAACCAGATGAATAATATCATTCACCTCGAACAATTAAATTGAAGTGTGTGAATCAATACCAACATGAACAATTTTTTTCAATCTTGTTGACCTCATAAGTAGTAGTATGGTAATTCCTTCAACACAGGAATCACAATTATGGAAGAGAGAAGCCATTCAAAACAGTTGAATCCAATCAACAAGCCCTCACTATTGATACAGAAATTGACCTTCACCATGAGAACAAACAAACAACACAAAACCTTTCAGAAAAAAAACTTTCTATTTCTTAACTAGGAAAATTTCAGAGCCCCACAAAACACTAAGAACAGCAATCACCACAAGGGCTAAGAGAACATGTTATCTAAAGAGAGCCGGGAAGAACCTTTGATACGAAGTATTCTTTTGCATAAGAGCCTTGGGATGTGTGAGTTTTATATAAGAGGAGACATTGATATGCAATAATCTAATGATATAGAGGATTAGGAAAGCAAGACTTGACACATTTCTTAGGGAACAACGACAGAGGAAAGTGAATATACCTCATCTGAAGAGGCAACCAGGTCGTAAGAGCTCAGTCAAGAAGGAGGAAAGTGAGTGGACCTCAACTGTAAAGGCAGATTGTATCGAGACAGTTGTAGAGCAGGAATAGATAGAAGCTAGTTCGGAGAGAGGAAATTCAAAATCGCCGTGGTAGAGAATAGCATATGGTGATTTAAAATATAAACATCCTAGCATGGGTTGGGGCGAGGGAAGGAATGGATAAAATTCAGTCAATGTTTCATTGACATGTGGGAAGGGTATAAGGAATGACACGGCTATCAGGAGATCTGGATTCCACCACTTCTTGGCTTCCCTAATCTTATATTTTAGGGACATTATCACCATAGCGGCCCTCCTAAATTGGGCTTTCGCACGAGAAGTCCTCTTATTTTCTCTTTCAGACGGTGTATAAATTTCCCAAACTTTACTCCCACCCCGTTCCCTACAAACCCCCTTTGTTTTTTTATTGCTTCCAAAGGGTGCCCCAAACAATATTGCAAATACAACTGAGTCTTTTCAACATTGATATCCTATCTCACCCAAAATGAGCCCCTATCATTTTAGAGAGAGCGAGAGGGAGGGAGAGAGAGAGTTGCAGTTGTCGATTTGAAAGAAACTGATACCTTCTCTCTAATGGAGCAACTAGAAACTGCACAAAGAAACTGACCCAATTTCCTACTTTCTCACTCAGCAAACGCACAAACTGAACTCTGCAAACACCGAAGAACAACCCACTTTGGATTACTTTCTTTTTCTTTTCTTTCAAATTCAATGAACCCTTGATTTGATCAAAGAGATTCTTACAAGGCTTGTATCCATCAGATCTATCCTCCCACAAAATTGTGACACCTTAGATTTCGATGATTGTTTCATGCTCTTATTTACATCTTCACTTGAGCTACTCTCGATAACTAGAGTAGTCACCTTTCTCTTACGGGAAATCATCAATTCCTTATTATGAATATAAGCACCTCAACATCCGATTCCATTAACCAGCTTCTCCCTTTCAATTTCAATGATCCTTTCATCTTCTTATTTAAATCTTCACTTGAGCTACTCTCAGTAACTAGAGTAGTCACCTTTCTCTTATGGGTAATCATCAATTCCTTATATATAAGCACCTCAACATTTAATTCCATTAACCAACTTCTCAAACTCTTACGCTTATGATACATGAGACCAAGCAAAATATTAAGCTTCTCATTCCCTCTAGTTCAGCTTCAAGAGCCATTACCTACACAAATAACTCAATTCCTTAAAAAATTTATAAACTTTCAGACTAGTTTTCACTTCAAAGCCATTGATTCTAACCCCAAAAACCATACGTTTAGTTGGACTAAACCATAGTGACTACAATCTATTGAACCACTGCCCAGCTTCTTTTCTGCTTCTCGTTTTCAAGTGGGGTTCTGAGCAAGACAGATTTAACCTTTATCTCACAAGAAAAGGAAGGATTCAGAATAAAGAATGATGGGGTTGGAGAGAAGAAGAGAATTATAGTGAGAGTCGGCCTTCTAGGTAATGGATATGGGAATAAAAGAGCTCAATGAAATGAATCTGTGGATTTGAACAAAGGCGACGACTTGGGCTATCCTCAATATAATGTTGCAGTAGAGTCTGAGCGTGAGGGAGGAAGAGGGAGAGAGGGAGGAAGAGGGAGAGAGGGAGGAAGAGGGAGAGAGGGAGGGAGGGAGATAGGGAGGAAGGAAGAGAGAGAGAGAGATGTATATGAAACAAAGCAACAAATACCATCAGGTTATCTTCTCTTGCACATGTTTGGGCCCTGGATTCCAAAGGAAATGAAATTACAACACAGCCATCCGTTTCCATTAATTTCTATTTACAATATTGCTTGGGGCACATTTTGGGGAAACAAATAAAGAAAAAAGGGATACGTACGGGGGAGGGGGTGGCTTAAAAGTTTGGGCAATTTTATATGCCACCTGAAAGAGAAAAGAAGTGGGGTTCTCGTGTAAAAGCCCAATTTCTTGGGGAGCATACAGTGATTATTTCTCTATTTTTCTTTTTGAATGTTGTGACAATTTCCCTATTTTTTATGGATGCATTATCAAAGATGATACAAGGGGGAGAGCATTTTTCACAATAGTAGATATCAAATTTATTTAATAAATGTTATTGATTAGGTCAAAAAAGAAGGAAAGATTAGCAAATATTTTTTGCGCCTGCATGGCTAGGAGATAGCTCAACACAGTGAGGCATGCCAAGTGACTAAAAGACTAGCTGACAGGTGGATTGCAAATAAGAGGGCAATTGCTTAGAGAAATCAACCTTTTGAACATAACCAACATTATTTTGTATTTAAAATTTGAAAAAAAAAATTTTGAATTTTTGATCTTTTCTGTTTACTAGTATCAGATGTCGCCTAAGAGACAAAATTTGAAATTTTTTAAAGATTGAGGGTACTTTCTTGTGGCTTAATAGGAATAAGGTTTCCTTGCAACATCTTTTAAAGTTTCCTTGCAACAGGCATAGGTAAAATTTAGAAAACAGTGGTACATTGCATATTTGTATGAGGAAAATGTTCCACACCGGGTACTAGTATGAAATAGTGTACTCAGACCCAAAATTCCATCCATGTTTATCCAAAGGTTTATAGTATCCGGTTGTGATTCGTATTTTGCACCATAGGCATGGAAAATCCAATCAGCTCATATATAAATAAAATTTTGAAGCATAATAATATACCACTTGGGCATTTTCCTAAGTTTAAGACTCCAGACAAAGCTCATGACTTGCTCTAGTCCAGATTCGAGTCCATTAGGACTGGACCGAGTCACACAAAAAGTTAATGCATAAGACAATATTTTCTCCTGCTTTCCAAGCTTAATCAATTAGGCATGGCAAGTTTTTAAATACTATCAATTTTTTATAGAACATCAAGACTTTTATAATAATAGTTTTTTTTTTTTTTTGAAAGCAGAAATTTTTTTCTCTCTTTTTTTTTTTTGATAGAGATTTTAATAATATCCATATTTCATTATCATTGAAAGAACATTTATAAGATTTAAAAACAAGAACTAGAAAATGAAAGCAAACGAAAACAAGTATGTGATACCAACAATCAGCAAGTGAATTTCAAAATTTTATTAAAATTCATTATGGTTTAGTTGAGCAAAAAGAAAGAACTCTTGTGGATAGCTGATAAGAAAGCATAAGGAAAAATAAATGCAATACAGATCAGCATAAAATTGAGGAACAAACCTGACATGATGCAAGGGAATCCTTACAAGTTTGGAGGCTGAAACAATATATATTTTGAATAAGTTCGTTAGCAATGTACTCCTTGTCGAATCAAATACTAACTTATATTTTGTCTTGAATGGTCTAAGCAATACTAATAAATAATACTGGAGAATCATAAATCATACAATACCTCTCACGCAGGGACAATATCATTCCTGTAGTCACCCCGGGTACACTTTCTTGTACATCAGCATGCCCCTTTATTGCATACAAACGAATCAGTATGACATCACCATACACTTTACAACAGTAGTTTGAAACATCTAGGTGCCCTTTTACGGAAAGACAAGGTGGTCAGGGCAGCAGGACGCCAGAGTATGACGTCTTGGGTTCTATTCCTTCGACAGGTAGCGGATCCCTACCCCGCTGAACTACCCCGGAAAAAAAAAAAAAAAGTGGAAAAACCCAACATGTAGAGAGGTTTGTTTGACCATTTTTTAACATGAAAATCAAGAACATACGATGAAAATGCGAATATATACAGTGACAGCAAAACTAGGTGGAGAAAATACATAACAGGGTCAGACGCATCCACTCTTCACACATAAAAAGTTCGATTGGAATAAATCCAGAGTTGATCATCTCATAATGATAAACCACTAAGGATATTTGATGTACGCAATCAGACAAATACCTCCAGTTCACAACATTTTAGAAAGAAAAATTAAACAAAACGAAAGTCTTCAAGGTGCAAGCAAACATCTTAGACAGCAATTACTGGCACACCACTCTCCAGTCTCCATTGTTCAAAAAAACATAACGAACCCCATGTTCATGCAGAGTAGTCCAGGGTGTTGATTCAGCCACTCAAGTTTTTATAATCCACTCAACAAGATGAGTGACTTAAACCACAAAAATACAGCAACCATTATCTTTGGGCAGAAGAATTCAATATAGTGAATGGATTATTAAAAAAAAAATGTGTGTGGCTGAATAAGCCCCATCTAAGTAAGTCATAAATTTCCTTAAGTTAAGAAATGTCAGGTTTATAGTGGTTGGAAGCAGAAGCGGGTGCTGAAAAGAGTGCAAGTGATTGTCACATGCTAGAAAATCTCTAGCTTTCTTTTTTTTTTGAAAGTTTAGAAGATCTCTAGGTTAGGAGCGTATTCCGTGAACTATTTAATTAATAAAATAAAAAAATTTAGAGCAAGAAATTTTCTTAAAAAGCTCAATAACCCCACAAAAAAAGTAAAAAATGACACAAAAATTGGCATAAAAAATTGTTATTAATTAATTAATTTTTATTAATCAATAAATAAATATTTCTATATTCATTTGAGGTGTAGTTTATGTAACAATAATCCCACAAGATCCAATAAAAAATATTATGATAAGCCATAATGGGATAACTAATAACAATGAGCAGGTTTTTAATTGTCCACACTTTACAACCTCCAAAAGCATATCAAGCGGCTTTATTTAGAATTTGACACTTTAAAACCTCCAAAAACACTACAGAGAAAGTATGATCATAATTAAAATCCAAATGAGTCATCTTCTTGGCCTCTTGTTGCCCCATTGAGCAACTAGGAGCGATTCCTGAAAAGTGGGAATCAAGAACCCAAAATTCAAAAATTGTGATCCATTAGATCCCTATCCTAAGACTCCAGAGCAAGATACTGGAGTTGGCATGACCCCTAGGTTGGGAGATCCTGGTAACTAACGATTCTTATGAATTCAAGTTTTAGTTGTTGTTACTATCTCAAACTCCTATGCTATAATAAATTGTCAATTAAGAAAATTGGGCAACAAACAAGTAAAGAAATGGACATCGCTTTCCACGTTAAGATTCAAAATTATCTAAATCTAGAAAATACATATTTAGGATGAAAAGAAGCTTTGGTTGTGACAAAACTCCAGAGCATCAATGCAAATTAACTATATATTAAAGTGGGCCACCAACATACATTCGAGGAATTCGCAACCATTTAACAGCAAAAGGCTTACACTCACAATTTGGAAAACAACTCACAAAGGGAATCCGCTAATTCACACATTACTTGTATAAGAAATGGTTAATCAAAAAGGCAGGTGACTTCTCCAAAAAGAATATTTTACAATAGGAAACAATATCTTATCGGGAAAATAAAATATCTTACAAAAAAAAGCATCTCACATTGTATCATTGTCAACAGTAAAGAAAGAAGATAGTTGGTTGCCAGATGCATGGGGCAAGTCTTGGTGACCAACTGCAAGAAAACATTAGTTGGGCCTAATCCCTCTTTAACTTTCTTAAGAAATACCACTAGTGTTCTGCCACATTGATACGCATTTACTAATAAAAGTTACCAATATTTTATGTATGCAATTACTTGTTTTTCTGCTTGAATTGACTGCCAGTATATAAGGTTTCAAAGGCCATTCTAAATTCCCTGCTTTTCATACAATTGTAGTATCTATTGTAGTTTCTGTAGTTCTTCTGACTAGTGTCTCAGGCATCACTATCATTAATGTCGCAGCTACTACTACTATTGTTGTTGGTGGGGTGCCAATGGAATGGTGTTGGCGTACTACTTCAACCCCCATTGCTACCACTGAAACTACTTTTCTTGTACCTTGTATTTTTTTGCATAGATAGTCGTCTTAATTTATAATTATCAGTATTAATATTGCCTGCTTCTTGTGCCAGACTAGTTTGCTCTTTTAGTTCAATTTTTTGTAGAAGTCTTTTGGTACACAGCTGCCATAAAATTATTGCAACCGACTAAAATAGCTAGAATATGTAGCATATGTGGGCAGAACAATTGAAATTATTATGATGTGAGCCACCCAAAACATGCTCTCAGTTGCTTATATTAAACCATATTCTTTGTGAGTTGACTTGGATTCTGGAGGACTACAATTCTCAACAAGGGTTCTATATTGATCTCTTCACCAATCAGCCCAAGCATAAAAGAAAGAAGTGCCAATACACATTGATTAAATATAAGCTTCTCTTTTTTGTTTATGAGATAATCAATAAAACCCTAGATTGCTTTTGCAAAGGAAAACCATATTTCTATAAAAAAGACAGAAAGAAGCATTCTGCCCCATCTAGGGCATGGGTGTATCGCCATCAACATGGAACATGAGGCCCACAGTACCAATGCCTTGGGACTTGAGTCCTATTGACCACACAAACATAGACTGTAAGGCTTATGGGGTCACAAAACAAAGCCACAGCCATGTATGTGGCTCTGTGATACATATGTAGCCATGGTCTACTGAGTCCTGCAGTCCATTGAGTCACATAGGACAATGGCTAAATGTTGTGAGGCCTGTAGGATCACGGCTTAGTTAAGTGAGTCCCACATGCAACTAACATGGCTATTTGGCATTAGATACCCATTGAGATACAACTTGGGACTGTGAAACAATTGGGACCCTTTAAGCATGAGCAGTGAACCCCAGCAAAACATGGTGTGCAATTGTAACTTGATCCCCTGGCATTCCATACTTTAAGGCAATGATCCTAGTCTTTTGCATGAAGTTATCTTGTGTTGTAAACTTATCCCACAAGGTATGGTTTTCGCCCTACCAAAACCCAGATTGAGTGCCGACTGAACCATCAGTAGAGCAGTTGTACTCCCTTATTTGGTCCAAGGAGACAAACCACATGGCACTTTGGATCAAAATCCAACCCCAAACCAAGGAAAATTTTCCAAACTTCATAAAAATAAGAATAAGGGATACATTAAGCAGCATCCCTGAAATGTTTCAAGAATGTCAGCTATGTCAGAAACGTTTCCAGGTGTGAAGTTGTATTATGCATAGAACCCAAGATCTAGTACTGGTTGAGATAAAAACCCAAACACTAAATAACATTGGAATTAGTTTGTTACTCAGTAATCAGTGTGACCCAAGATATTTGAGTCGTAGAGGTTTGCATGTTAAATGCATGCTCTTGCTGAAGGATTGTGATCTACAAATGAAGTTCCATTGCATGCATGAAAATTATAGTATAGTGGTCTTTAGCCATGCCATGCTTCGCACTTTGTTGCATATTATGACACAACGTATAATTGCCTTGAAAAGGTATAAAAATGCTAGATTGGACACTTTTTAGGATTTTATGAAATATTTCAAAACGTAGGATTAAGCAAAAATCTTCATTTTTTTTTTTTCTTCACTACCTACTAATAAGTATGATGGGGTTCATGATGGGTTCTAGCAAAATTTTACTTGACTGCCTACCTAACACAACCGTGCCCCTTTACCCGGGTATGGGATGGGTTGAGGGAAAGTTTAAGGTCATCACCCTTCTTAAACCAATAAGCATAAACATGGTTATTCAATTTCAAATAATTCCAAGGGATTGCACACTATGAGACCATTTTTTCTTTATATACGGAGGTCACATTAATTCCTTGGATAGCTTGGGGTATATCACAAAGCTCTAGAAATAAAATTTTGAACTTTGAGCCTAGTCAATGACTCTCTTACAACCCCCCCAATTTGAAATCTAACAAACAAGAGGGTTGTGATCTTCTTGCACCAAAAGTAAATGGTCTCTATGTATACTTTGCCTAATTCAAATGATAAAATGAACATGGTTTACAATGCACAAAGATACTGAATAAAAAATCCAATGCAGCAATTCAGGATTGTTATTCCATTTCCATCTTCAATGATTAGCACATAACAGAACTTGTAAAAATTACAAAACATTTCAAATAGTTGATATTTGCCTCCCTATCTCTCCATGCATTATAACGCAACTTTGTGATACAATATAAAATTTGTCAAATTCAATCAAAGCTCAAACAAACAGACTAATTCCGAATTTCAACGACCATATCATCATGTCTAATTGTCACTAAACATAAGTAATTTACAATCTTGAATGTTCAATAAACAAAACAATACAGATTTCTAATCATGATCCAAGTGTTAATTATTGTACTTATTATAAGCTCCTTAAATAGGTAATTTAAGACAATAAATTACACAGCATATAAATATACCTTCTTGGATGCAAAGAAGTCATCATCATCGTCATCTAGATCCCCAAAACCCCTTTTACTTCCTAAATTAGCACAATGAGCCAAATAAGTAACTAGAGAAGCCACTAAGAGATATATCTGTAGAATTGTATCAGTACTAGAAACCATGAGATCCATAACTCTACACATACTATAACAAGTACGAAGATGAAGAGGGGCATGAACATAATATCCTCAGCCATTGAAATATATACCAAACTGAAAACAGTAAATAGGAGAAAAAGAGATGGAGGGAAGCAGAAGAAGAGGAGGAGGAGGGAGAAGGGAAAGGAGAAAAGGGGACTCAACAAACAGAGAAGTTAGCCATTATCAAAAAAAAATGACGTCTGAATTCTATGTTAAAAAAAAGTACATATGCAACTAAGCAAACCTTGTAGTACGAGAGAGAAGACAGAGAGAGAGAGAATAGGAAAAGAATTGGGGACATGCTCAAGAAATCAATGTGGCCAAAATCAATCTGATTTGTACAATATTTGTTATAATATGAACCAAGAAAATCAGCACATATAATGAGAATAAAACACAGACAAATAAAAGAAAAAAAAACCATTTAAATTGGCAGAAAAAAGAAAGTAAAATGCCATAGAAGAACGAATAACACCTGTGCGTCTGGAACTATGACTTCCAGGGTAATCGCCACCAAAATCATCATCCTGCAACCATTAAAAACCATGAAATAACGTAATAAATTCAAATTTTCCATGAAAAAAAGCAAAAAAAAAATCATGGAAAAAGAACTATTAAAGCAAGGAAATAATCACAGAAACTTTGCAAAAGAAAAAGGAGAGAGAGAAATATATCGATATTACATCGTCAATGTGAGAGTGGGAAGCCATAAGAGCTCTCAGACCTAGTTTGTTTCTCCTGTTTAAAGTATTAATTTGGACGTCTCCATTTATTTGAGCGCCTCAATTTACAGTAACTAAGCCTTGCATAAATGCCTACGATGCCATTTACTTTGTTTTTGCTTTTGTTTTTTTGGGTAAGTAAAAAAAAAAAAAAAGCTAAGGCAAGGCTCCAACGACTTGCTAACTTAATCATTGTATTCAAATCGAAAAAATTGAGTTTTGAGATTTTTAAAAGTTTTAAATTTTCTAGATCTCACTTCTCAAAAATGGGATGGTTTTCACTCAATCTAGAGGCATTATTTTTTTCAAGCCCATAGAAAAATATAGTTTGGAAAATTTATTTGTTAAGAATAACATATGATTTAAAATTTGGGATTTGAAAAATACTTTTAGATTGATTTTGCCCGAGGAAGTAAATATACATTATTAATCTCTGGTCGTCATTTAAACATTATACTTAATTTGATTTGCTATACAATGACAATAATAGAGTGAATGAAAAAATATGACTATGTCCATCTTTTCGTGCTATTAGACATTTATTTAATGAAATAACTAAATTATTTATATAATATTTATGATATTTCATAAATATAATAATGATAATCATCATTATAGCATTTTCTCAATTAATTGGGTCGACTACATTAATTATGGTTCGGCATTCTATTTTATTAAAGGTCATACCCTCAATGAAATCGTAAGTCCCCATATCTTTTTAAACTACTTTCAACCACGTCCTTTGTAGTCTACCCTTTGTCTTTTTCAGTCCTTTCACTTGAACTAACTTGCACCTCTTAACAGGTATTGTACTTGGTCCGTGCTACATATGGCCAATCCACCTAAGTCTACTCTCTTCCATCTTATCGCTTTTTAGTGCCACACTTAAATTCTCTCGAATGGATTAATTTTGAATTCTATCCCTTCTTGTCTTGCCGCTCATCCATTTCAATATCATCATCTCTGCTACACTCATTATATAGGTTTATTGTTTTTTGTTCATCCAACATTCTGCCCCATACGGCAAAGCTGGTCTCACAATTGTCTTATAGAACTTACAAAAACTTCTGCTTCATTGGTATGCGACAATCACATAGAATTTCAGTTGCACATTTCCACTTCGCCCACCCAGCTCTAATTCTGTATGCTACATCTTCATTAATCTCTTCATTTTCCTGGATAATCGACCCCAGATATCGAAAGTGTGGTCTTTTTTATACTTCTTGATCGTCAATCTTAACTACTTCCTCGTCTCTACTCCTATTATTACTAAATTTGTATTCCATATATTATGTTTTAATCCGGCTAATTTTAAGACATTTAGATTTTAAGGCATCCCTCCAAAGTTCTAACTTTGTATTGACAATGTTTCGGGTCTTATCGATCAAATCTATGTCATCTGCGAACAACATGCATAATGGTACTCCATCATGTAGGTGTCTAGTTAAGTCATCCATAATTAAGACAAAGAGGTATGGGTTTGTTTGATGGTATTTTTTGTACACTTTACATCTTCGATGCAAATAAAAGAGAAACCAATGGCAAGTTAAGCCTGCAGGTACCAAAATACCTGTGGGCCGGAGAAGTATTGACCAAATAAGCCTTATTTTAATAATCCTTGATGATGATGTTAGATTAGCCCCAAATTAATCACATAAGTTCTCCATGATAATACAAGGGTGCCCTTCAAGATTTGTTCAATTTCGATGCAAATTGGAGAAAGCAAGCAGAAATCAATTTTCAGTCTAGGCTCCTAACATGCCTACGGTTCACCATAGTCAAGAATCCACTCCAAAGGCTTCCAATGACCATGGGACCATCGCCATTGGGCTTGGGAGGTTAAGAACAATCACCATGCCAAATTTCGGTGCAATATGACCCTCCTCGGTCATACTTTCCAAAAATAGCAGTTTGCTAGTGACTTATAGTACACATTTGGATAAACCTACTCTAGAGACCTCTAATGACCGAAGGACCACCACCAAAGGACTTGAGAGGCTAAGAACAATCACCATGCCAAATTTCACCACAATCTGACCCTCTTAGGTCTTGCTGTCCAAAAATGGCAGCTTTCTAACGCTTAAGGTACAACATTTGGGAAAACCTACTCTAGAGTTCTCTAATGACTATGGGACAACCACCATTGGATCAAGAAGACCGAAAGCATTTGTCACTCCAAATTTAGCACGATCCGACCTTTCTAGGGCGCACTTTCCACAAAAGGCAGCATTTTAACTATTCACATGAGCTTTTTGAACCAGTTACAATCCAAAAACGTGGCAATCTTTTGAGTGATGGTTCTCCCTCATCTTGAAGCTAATGAACTCCAAGTTTGGATATTTTGTTCATCTTGCCGAGATCCACATTTTGGTGGGTGGCATGCACGATGAGATGGCCCGAGCACGAAGAAATCCAAGAAGGAAAATCACAAGAAAAAGGCTAAAAAATGCAGCAATTTCTAACACCATGTGTGTTCACTCAAAGGACCATAACTCGAGATTTTGGGCACCAATGACTTTAAGAATTGGTCCATTGTGACCATGACTAGAGGGCCTTCATTTTGAGTACTCATAGACTCGAAATAGAGGCCAGGAAGCCATTGTATGAAGGCTAAAAGAATGCACATTTTTCAGTACCAAAATTCCTTTTTTTCAACTTCCTTCAAAATTGATAAAGTGATCAAATGTTCACCAAATCGCGGGGTTTTCGTTACAAAATGACCACAGCGATCCCCCAACAATATGTGACAAAAAACAAGGCAAAATGAGCATGGTCAAAGCATGAAAAAATCAAGTTTATATGTTTTGGTCAGAATTTCAAACTATGGTCAAACATCCGATTCAAGCTTATTAATGGATATCAAAACGATCAACGCGACACTTTTATGATATTTGTTCACTCGAAAAAGCTGAAAAAGGGCCCGAAGCATGGCTATGGCAAAAAGCCCCTTTTGGAGAGATGATTTTGTCATTTTTAAGTTTGTTACTAAGAGTGAAATGGTTGTTTTTCCCAAAAAAGGGATTAATTGATTAAATCTCTTTATTTGTATTTTTCAACAATTTTGGCTTGTTTTGAGTATCCACCCATATTTTAGGGGGCTCATAAATAAGCACTTTATGTTCATTTGTAACCCTAAGCTCACTAAGTCATAAATATTATTAAAAAGGAGTGGTTTTGAGCTTGTTTTCTTGTGTATCATTACCTTTTTTACTTGAGAGAGATGAGAGAGAATATTTGTGCCCCTTGAGAGTTTATCCCTAGACCACAAACCCCAAACCCTTGCATAGTCTATACCCACTCCCATAGTCCCTAGACTACTAACCCCATACTCCATCCTAGTCTATAGTCCATAAACCCTACTTAGTTCCATACTCCCCAAACCACAAAGATCATAAGCCCTAGACTATAGTCCCCACTAACCCTCATACTCCTTAGCCCATCTAAACCCTACACCCCACTTTAACCCAAACTCTCATACTCCCTAGCCAACCTAGACACACACTCATCTAGCCCATTTGGTCTAACCCTTAACCTTGAGGTTCAAGCCTCTCAAGGAACGCCCAAGGTAACTCAAACCTAGCACTCGAGTTTGAGCAACAAGTTTATTGCTAGGTACCCGATCTATCTCTTATCTTCTCTCTCTAAATCTCTCTTTCTAAATTTCCTTCTCTCTCTAAATCTCTCTTTTTCTAAATTTCTTTCTTTTAATCTCTCTCTTTACATCTCCATCTTTCTTTTAATTTCTCTTCCTTAATATCTCCTTCTCTCTTTCTCTCTCCCTTAATTTAATTTCTCTTCCCTTTTCCCCTCTCTCTCTTCTTCTCCCTCTCTTTTTCTTCCCTTCTCTCCCTCTCTCTCCTCCCCTCTTCTCCTTTGTCTCTCATTATGTCCCTCTCTGGACCGGCGACCCATTCTCCCTCCCTCTCTTCTCTCTCACTCTCTCCCCTCTCTCCTCTCCTCTCCTCCCTCGTCCCTCTCTTCTCTCTCACTCTCTCCCCTCTCTCCTCTCCTCTCCTCCCTCGTCCCTCTCTCTCACCAGGCGTTGGCCAACCAACTCTCCCTCTCTCTCTCCTCTCTCCCCTCTCTCCCTTCTCCTGGGCTGGTGGCCCGTCTCTCCCTCTCACTCCTTTTCCAACTCTCTCTCACCCTCATTTGACCGGCAGCCTAGCCGCCAACCCAACTCTCCCTTACTCTCTCCCCTCTCCTCCATTTTTCTATCTCACTCGTCCCCCTCTCCTCTCTCACGAACGGCCTAGGTCATTGGCACGGGAACCGCCCCTCTCTTGCTCTCTCGCCCAACTCTCCCCCTCTCCCATCCTTCTTCACCTTTCATCTCCTTACGTTGCTCTCTCTCTCTCTCTTTCTCTTAAACCCCAGCTCTCAAAGCTCTCTTTAAAATCTCTCTCCATCTCTCTATTGACTTTTCCAATTTCTCCTACCCCCTCTCCCTTGATCTCTCTCAAAACTCTCTTAGTTCTTTTGATCCCCAAACTCTCTTTTACCATAAATTCTCACCCTCCCAACTTTCTAAACCCTCAAACTTCTAAAACTCTCTCACTAAATCTCTCAAAGTCTTAAACTCTCTCTATTTTCATTCTTTCAAACTCTTCACTCTCTAAATCTCTCTATCCTCAACTACCCTAAACTCTCAATTTTATCAAATTATCTCTCAAATTTCCTTCAAACTCTCTGAATTCTCTCTCACTCTTCTACTCTCAAATTCTCCTCTCTCTCCCAAATTAATTGTTCTCAAATTTCGTTTGCCCTCTCAATACTCTCTCTAATTTCTCTACCCTCAATTTCTTTAAACACTCTCCAATTCTCTCTCTCTCTCTATCTCTCTCTCTCTAGAAACTTCTTAAATTTTGATCTCTTTTCAATCTTTTAAACCTTAAATCTCCTTTCAAACTCTCAACACTCCCTCTAAATTCTTAGACTCTCCCTCTCAAACTCTCAAATCTTCTCTTAAATTCTTAAACTCTCCCTCTCAAACTCTCAAATCTTCCCTTAAATTCTCTTCTCTCTCTCATAATCTCTTACTCGCAAATTCTTCTTTCTCTATCTAACACTGTAAACTCTCAAATT